AGCAGTAGCAGTAGTGGTAGTAGTCGTGGTGGTGGTGGTGGTGGCGGTGGTATTGGCAGTGGTGGTCGTGATAGTGATTGATCGTGGTTGTGGTAGTGGTAATGGTACTCATATGTAATCGTAAAGCCGGCTTGACTTAGTACTAATACTGGTGGTAGCAAGCAGTCGTCGTAGTAACAGCAGTAGTATTCAGTAGCCGTGGCGGTACTACGAAGCCCAAGCAAGTACAGGTTCCAAAGCCACTGTCGCACTTTCCCTGGCAATTGGCAATCAAAGGCTCCGAATCACGTCCGGATGAGCTTCGTCGAAACCATCATATGTCAGGTCGTACCTTCTGCTGGCTTCCGCCATGGCACATGTGAGGGACATATCACGAGGGAAAAAGCATCGGTCAAGGATTGAGCTGCTGTATCTCGAGGGGACGTCAGATTTGATAGCTGCAATGAAATGTCTTGCTAGTTTGTGTTGCGATTTGCTGATTCTGATCTTGCGTTGGATAGCTTTTCTGCTCATGATGGAAAGTATGCTAGGGCTGCTGTGAGTTCTCATTACCGGCCGAACATTTAAAATCATTCAAGATTTGACGGATATTCAAAGCAACTGCAGGGTAACACAGGTTTTGGAGCATTAGCTTCAATGGCCAGCACGCAGTGGACAGAAATGTCGTTCTGAAATGTCACAAGCTTGTGGCTCATCAGCATTTGTGTTGCATATTATGCACATTCATACATTCATATATATATATATATATAATATAATACATATATATATACAATGTAAAACTCATTTGTGTAGTTACTGAAGATCTGCTTGTTTGTGTCCTTCGTAGTTTTTTCTATGATTTTTCTATGACTTTTCTTACGTCATGTAAAACTTGTAATTACGAAAGCAAGTTCGAGGTACGATCAAATACTACCTCGCCAAACAACTTCCACTCCCATGTAGATCTCTGTGCAGAGAAAACGCTAATTATTTCCCCGTAGCGGTCACCTAATTTTACGAAAACACTCTGACATGGCTCAGTCAGTGACGTCGTTCAGGGCTGGGAAAGGTATACGCCCGATATCTACGTTCACAGCACGATTCCCAGCACCGCAGGTGTTGTCTAAGTCTAAGTAAGAAGCACCAGCCATGGCCACACAACCAGCGCCAGGCCACCCGAGCCGAGGGCTGCGATTCGAGCGACGCCTTTCTGCATCATCCGATCTTGTCGGCCATGCCCAAGAGAGCTTCTTCAGGTGCCTCGCCCGATGGATCACAAGATGCCCTGTTCTTGCCATCGCAGTATCGCTGATGGCATATCTGGCATGTCTCCCGGGAATGCTACTACTGCCGGGGTCAGAAAGCATGTTTGGCATCCTCAGAATCAAGACGGGCTTCTTGGACACGTTTACTTTCAAGACGACCGACGAGTACAGAGACTACAAGCGTGGGACGGATGTCTTCCCGGACACGAGAAGCCTTGTCTTCATCGCCAAGCCGCTGAATGGACGTCGGCTGGTATCTTCTGATGTGATGCGACAGATACACAAAGCCGAGGTGCAGATCGAGGAAGCAACCCGCTTTGAGTCGGTCCAGGGACATCAGCTGGGCTTCCGTGACGTTTGCGAAAGGTTCAATTCGGGTTCGCCATGCATGGTAAGCAGCGCTACTGCCACACTTCTCGGGAACGATATCGCAGCCCGTCTGTCTGAGCTCGAAGCACTGGAGCTGGACGGGAGCACACCTGCCCTTGTGGCAGCGGCGTTGCTTGTGGCTGGGATGAGCATGCAGCAGCGTTCAAGCTTGCCGCTTCTCATTGCTTCGTCGCGACCTTTCCCTGGCGCTGATGCCAGCGAGGCTTCTCTCAGTGAATGGCTTCTTGAAGGCACTGCTGCCATGTCGACTTTCACACTGTTGGACACCGATGATGGCGTTCGCTTCGAGAAGCAGGCGGGCGGCCGACACCAAACAGCCCCATTCCTCAACTTGAACCCTCAACCTGACACCTCAAACTCCACACCCTCGAGAAGCAGGCTGCGAAGGACATCAACCAAAACGGCTACCCCGAGAATGCGATCGTTAGAATCAATCAGTTTAGCTCCTCGACTATTGCAACGGAGAGTCTGCTGATTGGTATGGACAACGTCCCACTCATTGGAATCACCATTTCCATCATGGCAGGCTACCTCGTCGTCATGCTTGGCACGGACACCAGAATTCCCGGGAACTCGCAAGTCAAGGTCCTCTTGGGAGGGACTTGCATTCCAGGGTTGTCCGGTTTGGCTAGCTTCGGCCTTTTAGGATACTTGGGGCATGGAGTGAGTGTCTTGGGCACTATGGTGCCCTTCTTGGGTCTGGCTGTGGGCGTTGACATTATTTTTTTGATGGTGTCTTCAGTGAACGCCGTCGGCCCGGACGCGAAGAACATGGAAGAGGTCATGGTGAAAGCCCTGCCCCGTGGGGGCAGAGCAGCAACGACCACGACCTTGACATCAGTCTGCGCCTTCTCCATCGCGGCTGCCACAAGCGCGGATCTTCCCAGCTTCTTCTGGTTCAACATTGGCCTGGTCCTGGTTCTCATCATGAACTGGATAGGCAGGCTACCAAGCGAATACCTGTGATGTCGGTGATGATGGCGATGATCATGAGGATGAAGATGGTGATGTTGAGAATCAGTGTGATTAGAGTTGATTTTGATCATACCCCGCTAGGCATGGTGATCATGTTCCCGGCGATGATCACACTGAGCCAACGCAACATGACCGTTCGTGAGGAACCGAAGAGTGGCTTTGCTGCAAAGGCTAGATTGGCCATGGGAGGCGGACGCAAACTTCGGGGTATCATGACTGCCAAGCTCGGCTATGCCGTCCAGCGCAGCCTGTCTTTCCAAATCTTTGGAGCCTCAACATGGATTGCACTGACTGTACTTGGCATCTACTTCGGGCTCCAGGTGGAACGGGGTATGCCGGACACGGATTTAGTGACCGACTCTTCCAGTGTGAACGCATATTTCGAGGATGTCGAAAGCTCCTTTGTGGGGAGTCTTCCCATTGAGCTTGGTCTTGTCTTCGACTCACCGAGAACTCTTGACGCATCATACCGGAGTCGCATGTCCGAGTTGATAGCAGCACTGAATAACAGGTCGGACTTAGTCTTGCCCGTGGATTGTTGGCTCCAGCGAGCAGTCGGCTCCTTGAGCAGTTCCGCGTCCATGTGCGAGGTGGACACTGCCATCCTCATGTATCTGAACAACTCAGATGTCAGTGGCCGGGATGCCAGGGGTGGTGTCACAGAGCATTTGCGAGCGGCGAGGTGTCGGGCCTTTCTGTGGCAGCCGACGGATGCCAAAAAGCGCAGTGAGCAAGCATCGGACATAATCAACCAAGTAAAGGAGGGCTTCCCGGAGCTGCAGGTCATCCCATATCACTTGAGCTTCCCGACACAGACAGCTCGCTACCGGATCATCAAGGACAAGACTTTCAGCACGGCCGGTTTTGCCTTCGTTGGGGTGTTCCTCGCAGTGCTGATCACGATGCCTGTTCACCTTGCTATTCTGGCACTAGCCAACGTCATGGCTGTTACATGTGTGCTGTTCGGATTTATGTGGGTTTGCGGCATCACCAGCAACCTCATTTCATTTACAGTTTGTGTCATGACGATCGGATTTTGCGTCGACTACAGCTGTCACGTTGTGCACTTTGCCGACCACGGTGTGTCGCCAGGGACACCTTGGGACCAACGTATGCGGCTCTCACTAGAATCCTGCAGCTTTGACGTGCTCCAGGGATGTTTGACAGCCTTCCTTGGTGTGGCTATGCTCGGGCTTGGCTCAGCACAAGCCTTTAGGATTTTTGCTCTCCTCTCGGTCATCATAACGCTCGTCGGTGGCTTCTTTGCGCTCATTGGCTTGCCGTGCTTGCTGGCACTCCTCTCAAGAGCATGGCACGCCTGCGCGGGCGCGGGTCAGAGTCAGACAGAGGAATTCCTGAGTGATGCTGTGACTGTGTTGCCAGTGCCGAAGGGGACAGAAGCCAAGGTGGTGGAGACCCGGACGTTTTTGCTTTCCGTGGATCGCGTTTCCCTGTAGAACCCTGACACCGAGGACATCGAAGTGGGAGCCACGCGGAGACATGGTGGCAGCAGCCCCCCCCCCCCCGTACAGATACATAGCCTACGTCTACGTCAGTGTGCAATTATGCATGCAAGCATGCGTTCGTACACTTACGTACAGACGTGCACATGCCCGCATAAATCGAAAGGGTGTGCAGACAGATATAGTCTATCGTACCTTCATGATTGCATGCCTGACAGTTGTGTCACTGGGTCTTGTCCGAGTGTGAATGGTGAAACCATGAAGCACAGCAATGGCCACAAATGTGCGCCCGTGGCAATCCGGAAGCTTTATCAGAAAAGCGTGGGAGTGCGAAGATCCTGGGGTGAATCTACACTCTGTACTTGGTCTTTGTTGGGTTAGGATCTCTGCCGCAGATTCTGTACTGAGCACAGCTGCACAGCAAAGACTGGCGCAGTCGAAGAGCCGAATCGCTGACACGTCCGATTTTCGATTTTGGATGCCAGTGGGTTTGCGTGTGCCGTGACGATGTGGCTCAGGGTTGGAGGTTTGCGCCCATGCTTCACTAAGCATTGGCGCAATCAGAGATGTCGACCTATGTTCTACAATTACAACGGGGCGGTTACAACATGTGTGGCAAGATTCCTTGATTCCTTGCATTCCTTTTCACGAAACGTAGGTAGTCTGATCCGTCTCGAAGATACGCTTGCTGCAAGTCTACAGCGTGGTAGTTCATTGGGCACATTTGTGGCAACAGTAGAGGTATGATCCTTTGAGCCATCTCTTGTTCTGACCAACGGTAGCAACAACACTCACCTGTCTCCACCGCTTCGATCAGCCTGTGCTGCTCACACAGACTGTCACGTCGTGTGTGGTCCCAGTAGGACTAGGGCATCTCGGCGATGGGAAAACTCCGGAGAGGGTACTGCGAGCACATCTTCGAGCTTGCCGCACCCTTAGCCATTTTTCAATTTAGGAGCCGAGCTGCTGCGAGTCGCTTGAGATTCTAGGCGCTTTGCCAGCAAAGTGCAGCATTCATGCTGTACTAGATTGAGCTCACTTCTGGAACTTTCGACGTTTGTGTGCAGCTGCATCCTTGACAACAAGGGGCCACAGGCTTATGCTAGACTAACATAGCATCCTGCATCCACCTGCCGAGCTTTCACGTTTTAACTGTCGGTCGAGCATTGACGCCCGTGCTTATTTGCCAGATGTGTACAGGATGATCGCCCCCTTACTCGTTCCGAGACAGCAGCGTTGTTGCCGAACGAAATGCCGCTTGACGAGGTTCAGAGGGCTGGTATCTCCTCCAGTGCTTAAAGGCTGCGCGTGACGCCTTGTGCCCAGGCCCGCAATGGAGTTCGCAGCTATGCAGGGATTCACGTTTGTGTGCCGACCGGACCTTACAGCTTTGTTTACTTTGGTGAGTGTCTGCCCCATAGAAATCGGTGACTGGCAGCAAGACTCATAACTCTGGATTCTGGCTTGTAGCGAAGGTCACAAATTTGGCGGGCAAAACACACAGCGCTCGCTTGACAACCGCTGAGGCCGCCTTTGCCCCGCTGGGATAGGCGAGGCTGAAATCGAAGGCATAGCACTCGGAATCCGGAGAGAATGCGCTGCAGATCAGGTTGTCATGTCCAGCTTGCTACCAGTACTTGCAGCTTCGTGCGCAGGTGCTAACATCATCCTTCTTCGCAGTCTTGTACCTGCAGGTGTGCATCTCCAGGCATGGTGGAGACCTCAGTGGATCAGTAGTGCTCGGCTTCCGGAAGGAGATCTCAGAGCCACCGCCTTCATATCCCGTCTAGCAAAGCTCCAAGCTACGCTGAATTGCTTCAGATCCTATCTAGATGCTGAAGATCCCACCTCAGAAAGGCCAGGGTGAACGCTGGTGATTGACGTGTGGTATCCCTTCGCATTTGCTGCCTTCTTTGATGTAGGCAAGAGCTGCAGAGTCTGAAGCATTGCGGAACACGTAGCACGTGCCCGCTGCCATTTGTCCTTCAACCACAGGCAGATTGCTTCAGACTTGTCAGCTTTTACAGAAGTCGCCAGCCAGTGTTGTGTTCTGCTTGGGTTTTTGAGGTGCAAAAGTTCTGTCAGACACTATCAGATTCATCGAGTGTGAGGGGTTTCTTCCTCCCCATGATGCCATGCCCTGGTTTCGGGAGCCCCAAGTGATCCTGTCCAGATTGGTGGGCCTCAGCACTACCCTCTCCGCCTTGTGGTTCTGCCGCAAAGTGGGCTGCTGGGCGAAATCGCTCGGCCGCCTAGGAGCACTGATTCTGCGCTTCGTGCGGCGGGGGCGCCTCTCTCGGCGTCCGCCCGATTATGGGCACCTGCTGATGATCCCGCTCTACCCAGGTGTCAGGGTTGGTTGTCCTAGGAAGTGTTGACATTTTCAATGCTAAGCGCGCATAAGCCTGATAGTTGCAGAGTCTCTCCGAGCTGTGCCTGCATGTGCAGGAAACCCTCCGTCGCTTCAAGCAGCCAGCGAGTCGGAAAGTTTGGCAGAGAAAGCTCGGTCCGCAAGCCCGGATGAAGCTCTCGCTCTGCTCGGTGAAGCCGTGTTGCTGAATCCTCCGGATGCACTCTTGCATCTCGCCCGGGCACAGGCCCAGAACGAGTGCAGAAGGCATCTTGAAGCTTTGGACGATGCAGAGACCTGCGTCTCTCTGGACAGCAAGTGCCTTGAGGGCTGGCTACAGAAGGGCAAGGCTGAACTCGCTTTGGGCCGAGCAGCCGATGCAGCCGTGAGCTTTCAGGCTGGTTTGGCCCTTGAGCCAAATCACCCGGAGCTTTTGAGGCAACTCTCAGAAGTGGCACCGGCACCGAACATCTTACAGCAATTCAAAGAGTTAGTCTTTGCAGCAAGGCTTGGCCTTGAAAACTTGTTTCAGACTCTGGAGGACCCTCAGAGGACCACAGATGCTTTCGTTGATAGCAATGCAGAGGTGCTGGATGCACAGATCTCTTTGTTGGCACAGACTCTGCATGTGAACGTCTCAGTGCTCTTCGACTCCCCGAGGCTCTGCGATGCTTACGAGCAGATCGTCCACGCCTGCGCACAGCTGGTGTCTGGTGCACCGAAATCATTTTCGAGAAAGCTGCGGAATGCCAAAAACATCCTTGAGGGACTCAGTCTGGCCGTGAGAATCGGTTGGCAGATCCACCATGGTCTTGCCAAGCACGCCGCCAGCGCCCTGATCATCCTTGCCACATGTCCTGAGGCGGAGGAGGGACTTCGAAGAATGGCCGTTCGACAGCTCTTGGGAGGACTTCTGCGCTGGCTGGTGGATGCAAGGCCAGAGCCGGAGCGGGAGGTGGAGGAGGTCTGCGGATGCAGCTGCGCTGTCCCTTGGAAGGCCGCAGCCTGTTACTTAGAGCGACTCTTTGAGATTGGAAGGCCCATGGCCTTGATCCAATTTGAGTGCGAGCATTGGCCTGACACAGTTCAGCTGTGCCAGTGGCTCACCTTGTCGGTTCGAGACTATCATGCCACCCCACTTGGCCTCGTGGCTCTGCTTCAGATGCCCGGAGTGGCGGCCAAAGCGATGAAGACCCAGGCAAGAGTTGACTTCTTCATTGCACCGCATCTTTTTGGTGAGGCGCGGACGTGACGCTGCTGTGCTGATGTCATGTCAGTCCTTTCTGCGACATGTGAAACACATGCTGCCGCTTGGTCTGTTGCCCTGACGTCCTAGGTGTTTCTTATAAATCCTTGCACCATATATTCTACATCCCTAAAACAACCCGAACACATGCAAATCCCATGTGAAACACAATCGACGGTTCTGTATGCACATCTTCGGCCCTTGCAACACACAGATGAGTTTTGCGACATGCGTTCCCCGCTTTCTGCGAGGAGTTTGGCGGCGACGAGTTGTTCGAGGAAGCCGAGGAGCCCGAAACTTCGCAGGAGACCTGGGAGGTCGCAAGGGCGAGCAACGTCCCGTGGTGGAGAGCTGCGCAGATGAGCAGACAACCCTTGAGAGCCTGGAGACAGCAGATGCGCTTTGCGGCGGCGGCCGTGGCAGCAGCTACAAGCGAGAACCAGAGCCATCAGAACCAAGATTTCTCCGTGTCTTTTCCAGAGGCCTCCGCTTCTTCGAGCTTCAGCCAGGGTCCAGGTGCTGAGATCTCCAGGCTTCTGGGGAGCGATCCGAATCTTGCCAGTCTCCTAAATGCCGCTTCCTCCGCCGGGATTCCGACTTTGTTCCGGTGGATCCCCGATCCACAGCCACCTCCACCCCAAAGGCTCGGAGAGTGGCTCATGAATTCATTGGGTTATTTATTCCTTTTTATTGAAGGCGATGCCCTATTCACAGTCTATGCCTGCCGGGCTCTCAAGACACTGGCAAAGGCTGATCCAGATGGTGACGGGCAAACAAGACTACTGAATGGCATGTGGCTGGGCGTTCCTTTGCTCAGTAAACTGTCACTTGCAGCTTGCACGAACACGGCAGCGCTTGATTTGCTGCACTGCCTCTTCGAAGCAAAGTGCCCCGTGGCAAGAGCCGGTATTCGATGTGCCACGCGGTCTTTAGCACATGCTTTGGCCAGCGATGCTCTGCCCAACGAGCAGGACGATGACATCCACATGGCCTCTTCATCTAGCGCTTCGTCGCAGGACATGCAAGACATGTCACAAGAGGCTGAGGTTTTTTCTGGTGGATTCCAGGGAACAGACGGAGCTGCCCAGGCAGCTCAGGCACCAGAGATGCTGGGCGAGGGTGGTTTTGCCCAGAACCTTCTTGCAGGCCATGAAGATGATCTGGTGCCATCCTGGGCAGAGTTTCACCACGAACTTTTTCAGGAGCTGGCCCCCCGTCACCGTAACAAAATGCTTCTTGTGGGTGTTGTTCCCATCATTCCATGATTGTGGAACGGTTGCTGTGTTCTCATGCTGAGGCTTGCCCCACAGACAGGGAGCATGCACCGGAGCTCGTGACCCTCGCGAATTTTGAATCGAAGGCCAGCCTCCTTGCGGAGCAGGCAACGGTCCATTCGCTCGAGCCGCAGACAGAGGAGGGAAGAAACTACAGCTTTGCAGCTGTTCCAGCGGCATGGAACCGAAATGTCTTGGTGGAGATGGATCCGAAGCAGGGAAACTCGGACGAATATGTCCACGGCTCACCACCAGGATGGCAGACAGTTTCTTCCCAGCGACTGCTCCTTTTCCATGAGCTAGATGGCTTCCCCGTGGGCTCTGCTGAATACCTTCACGATGGCCGGATGAAAAACAAGGTCGTGCTCATGTCCAGGCGATCGATCCGTTCCAGTCAGAAGGTTCACAATTGGGCGCAGGCCGTATCTTCTGCTGAGCAGGCAGGTGCTTCTGCAGTCATCGTCTTCAACGACCTTGATGCGATGGAACCCTTCCGGATGGGACTCTTCGGGGAAAAGCTACCTTCCATTCCTGCCTTCATGATCAGCGGGAAGGATGGAGCGAGCCTGGGCACTCGGTCGCGGGACTCGGAGGTGATCATCGTCAGGCAAGGTGCGAAAAAGAACGATTCTGAGCACCCCTTCTTGCCAGCGCTGCCAGTGCCAGGTCGGTCTTGACCTCTGCCAGCTCTCCCTCGCCGCCTCCCTGGCCCCTTGCAGGCGGACGCATCGCAGATATCGCCCAGGCGCGTGCCGAGTCATCTGGCTTCACGCCTTAGAGACTCTCGCGACTCCCCACGAAGCACAGCTGTTGTTCTCGATCTGTTATCTCACGTCAGGCTTGGAGTCTGTTGGAAGCCCTCTCGGCACATGGCGAGCCTTCTGATGATCTAGAGAAGCTGCTTCAGCGAATGAGCGTGCCGGAAAAGCGTGTGTGGCTGACGCGCCGGCTGGCAACTTGGCGACAGCACGGCAGGTTAGGAACGCAGATCGAAGGCTCCACCCGAAAACACCCCCTGTGACTCTCTGTCGGGCCTCGGGGCCCGTTACTGTACCTCAGAGAAAGTCGCAAGAATTATTGATGGCCCATATGGCCCCACGCAGTGCCAAGAGCTGGCCTCTCAGCGAAGCGAAAGTGCGTAGCTGTCCGCTGGAAAGCCTTGAGACCCTGCCTCCCTGGATCTTCAGGTACGTCATCATCGTGCCCAGCAGGCCACCTCAACGGATGCAGACCTCGCAGAGACACCGCTGGCCGGGACCTCGGAGAGCCAAGTCACGTCTGATTTCTGCCGGCCAAAGATGATCAGATTTTTGTTCATGGTGCTCTGGCTTCAAGAACTCAGCGCCGCAAGGCCTTCGTTGAGAGCGACCGATGGCTGGCGGCAGAGAAACAGCTCGCAGCTCTCCGGCACCAGGCACGAAAGGGGCGTCACACGGCCAGTCTTTGCTCTTCCAATCTTCACTGCAGGTGATGGAGAAGACCGGGCTTGGGAGTGTGGACATCTGCGGTGAGTTCGAAGTGCGCTTCCGTGGTGAGCAGGGAGTGGGAAGCGCTGTGGTCCGGGAGTGGATGGACCTGGTGGCTAGAGACGTTTATTTGCAACCCAAGTTGAGGTTGCTGCGGAGCTATGACCAACGGCAGACATTTTGGCCAGATGCTGCAGCCCCATTTGTGAACAAGGCTTGGCAGATGGACTTCGAGATCCTCGGATCTTTGATCGGTCTTGCACTGTGGCAGAACTGCACACTTGACCTCCCGCTTCATCCGCACGTGTGTGCCTTGCTCTTTGGATTTCCAGAAGACCGGCTGACAGCTACGCTGGCCGACATGGATGCGGAGCTCTTCCGTCACAAGGTGCAATGGCTTCTTGCCAACCCCATCAACCAGCTCGGTATTGAACTCGGCTTTTCAGACCCTCTCGGGACGGAGGAAGCAGAGGGTGAGGAGGAGGGAGACAAGGCGAAGGCGGAAGTCGAAGAAGCACCGGAACCGCCGCCCAGGGCGGAGTCTGGACCAAGGCTGCCAGCTCTGGTGTTTCCAGGACAGCGCTTGGCTGGTGACGACCGGACCTGTGAGGTAGAGCCATGGCCACTTCCCAAAGTCGGATCTGCTGAAGTAGCGCTGCAAGATGAGGGCGACCTCGAGGTGGTGACGGACGAAACCAAAGAGATCTTCGTGGAATTGCTCAAGGACTGGAGGCTGCAGAAGGGAATCGCGCCACAGGTTCAAGCGATGGCCAAGGGCCTCTCGAAGGTTCTTCCGGAAGAGCTTCGACAGGAGATGCACAACTTGTTGACTCCAGTTGAAATCGCACAGCTACTTTCAGGCTTGGGAGGCACTCTCTCCGTCGACGACTGGGAGCAGCACACTTCTTACACCCATGGTCTGAGCAAGCACAGCGATGTTGTTATGTGGTTCTGGCGGGTCGTGAGAGGCTGGGCGGTTTCCGAAGAGGACAAGGAGCTGCTGGTTCAGCTCCTTCAGTTTGTGACGGGCAGCGCGAGGGTGCCTGTGGGTGGCTTCAGCGAACTGGTGGGCTTCAACGGCGCCAAGCACAACTTCACCTTGGCTGGAGCCCAGAACTTGTCCAAGCAGGCCCTGCCAGTGGCTCACACCTGCATCTGCACCCTGGACCTGCCCTTATACGATGACTTCGAGACTTGCCGTCGCAAGATGACGCAGATGCTCCGTTTGGGAAGGGCTCACTTCGATGAAGGAGCTGGCCAGCCGGAAGGGGCCGAGTGAATGGTTTCTGCTTTTTTTCAAATCGGAGACACAAAATGCTTGTCTCAAAGGCTCTGTCGGCCAAGCTCTTTCTGCATTCATCATCTTGGGTCACGTTAAACATACCTGTACCAGCATGCATGGCTCAGTAGTCAGGAGTACAAAGCACCATCCCACTGATAGCACTGCTGGCCTTAGTAACATGCATGTTCATATGTGAACCGAGCAGCACCAGGGCGACAGCAGGGGAAGCATGACAGGCTGGCACGGATCTTCTCACGGTTTCGATTGCGTGGGCAGAGACAGTTCCTAGCGGTCTGTGAAGCTTCACCCATCTTCATACTCCCAGTGCCCATGCATCGGATGTTTGAAGTTCTATGCGCATCGGAGCCTCAAAGCGCAGTGAGAAGATCACGCACGGATTGCCCTTACATTCTGCAGCTGCTTCGAGGCTCCGAAAATCAGCATGTCTTTGCTGATGACCGGCACTTCAAGAGAAAAAGCGCAATGGTGCAGAGCCTCACCCACCTGTGCACACGTTGACTTGCCCCTTCCAGAACTGCCATCTTGCAGACTCCCAGAATACTGGAATGGAGAAATGCTACTCCTTCCGCAAGCTTGCAATACGGTGTATCACGGGGTCAGCCTTGAAACTTTGTCGAATTGAAACTGTCTGGCTTGAACGTTTCTGAGTCTTGTAAGCAGACAATTCGCGCGAGCTGGAAAAACTGCGCAATCTTTGTCATGCCTTGTCTCTTACGTGCACTGAACTGCCCCAAAGCATTTAGCACGCCTTTGACAGTGGCATTAGGGCGAGCTCGGGACAGCACTGCGTCAGTTGCACCCCCCACGGTCAACTCTTCCCCTTGCACCGGCCTTTAAAGCATTCGGGCATTGTTCAAGGCCGGATGAGCCCAGTGGAGGAGTGCCCTGGTGCAAGCTTGGAGGTGGCTTCGGCAATCAGGCAAGATTTTGTTTCCTCCATTGCGTGCGCTTGCGAGGCAAGCTCCAATGAGCACATCGGCTCCCTTGCTGTTTTGGCAGCTGTGGCAGACCAATATCCGCGGAGCATGAAGGCTTCCGGCTTCGCTGCCTGGGAACATTTTTGATTTAGCAGTATCCAACAAAACAAGTGGTCCAACATGCTCGCAAGATGATTCTTCTCGTTGCTTTAACATGATTGATTTTTCGAGGCATGCTGAAACGGATGACCTGGTACCCGAGCTTCAGGCACACCTGTATAGTGTAGTGTCAAAACTGCACTCGCGCATGTTCTTATTCGACTGGCCGGCTCTTGTGCCAGAGCGATAGATCGATGCCTGATCGTGTGCAAGATATCCCGGCCTTGCATGTGAGCGACTGTCAAATCTTCGTTATACGAAAGTATGTGAGGGGAACCCTGAAAAGCGACACCCTCGAACAAGCCTCGTATTACAGTTCCAGTCGCAAACTTGTCTGCCACAAACCGATGAAATCCCTGCCGGTGGAAGAGTCGATCACAATACAAGCTCCGACAACACTTCGACGAAACTCTCGCCGGCTCCTGAAAGCGTTGATTCGAGTAACAAGTTTGTACTACGGTTCAATGAACATCTTGCCGGCTCACTGCAAAACAAGGAGTGGCCGATTCCAGTACTAAGCTGGTGCTACAGATCGATGAATATCTTGCCGGCTCCTGTAAACGTCGATTTCAGTTTTGCATTGTGGTCGCATAGACGGTTTTCCAGCCGATCGGCTGATTGATCTCCGTTTAGGGTTTGGGGTTGCCCGGACAGCATCTCCTGGTCGGATTTAGGGTAGCCCTGCCAACATCTCCTTTTAGGATTTAAGGTTGCCCAGGCAACATCTCACTTTCGGCCGGCTGATTGGCTATCGGCTGATCGGTGTAGCATGGTTTTGGGCACCTCTGGGGAGTCGTGAAATAATGTTTTGTGCGAGGTGTGGTGTGATTCGAAGTGCAAACCTGAAGTGTGAGTTCCGGGTGTGAGGGTAGGTGTGCATGGCGCGAGGCGAGGCGTGAGAAGTGTGCGGACCACGGTGCCCTTTTGGCTTTCCGAAGCCAAGCTTTTTGCGGGCTCGGCCCCTACCGAAATTTTGGATGTTTGAAAGAACTGAGGAAAAGCGAGAGCTCTCCATCAAAAGACTGCAGATTTGCGGGTTAAGTCCAGATCGTCGGTCTCTTGAATGCGTCGTCGGGTAGTGCAGCAAGGGCCCTGTTCAAACTTCTTAACCCCCGGGATCGGCAAGCTCTGCCATAGCAAGGTCTTACCACCTGCCTCGCATGTCTGCGCCTCTAATCTCCCAGAAGCTTTTTCTCGGCTTTGGCTCATCAGACTGTCATCGAGCTTTAGTGCGTTTCGCGGAACTTTCTGTTTCTGAAACACCTTGCTCGGGGAACTTCCGCAGATGCGCCATCCAGACATCCAGTGGCGTAGAACATGTCCCCCGCAGATATTTCATGATTGAGTGAAGCCCCACACCCAGTTCTCGAGGCAATTTGTCAGGCTCGCTCGTCACTAGACAAGATTCCGTCTCAAAACGTTTCCTTTGGGACTGACTTCTCGCCAAATCATGTTGGACTGACCTCTCGCCACATCACGTTGGAAGGACTGTACTCTGTTGGTCAGCGGGGAAGTGAGAGGGCTAACGAGCTCCCCGAGCACCCGAAACCCCTGATCCACGAAGGTCGTACACATTGATTGCCTCAGGGCCTAAACTGAAAGTGTGAACAGGGCTGCTGGCAGTACATGCTTATGCTTGATGGATCTAGGCCTACTGCATGACGGATTTTCGGAAAGCCTGGTACCTCAACACATCGTAGCAGGAAGCCATGCTCCTTGTCTTTGTTTCACGACGTCCTGCGCCAATGTTGACGGGGCCCGGGTTTTGAGCCAGGTGCCCGAAGAAGGCCCGATCTTCTTTGGGAGATCAGATTTGACAACAAGTCGGAGAGGTCGGCGGGCCCCGGGAGCGGGCCAAGACGTCCTGGGCAGCCTCGCATTTGCCGGAGCTTGGCTCGAGACCTATTTCAAGCTTGTTTCCATCGTTCCAGAGCACATTTTCAAAAATGGGTCCCCACTCCCCAGCTCCTGCAAGCAGTGTGGGCCCGCCCGCTGTAGCATTCACTTTGGCAGCCAGCTCTGGGCCTACTCGTGCTAACGTCGTGAGGCCTTTCAGTGCCCAGGGGCACACTACTTCTCACCTCATGACCGTGCAAAAGTGCCTTCACTGCGGCGGCAAAGGAGCAAAATGGGTGCACGCACCCCACTGCTGATGTTTTCTCGGGCTGGAGTAGCCAAAGGTTGGTGAAGCAAGTCCCTGAGGTTGGCGGCCCTGCATTCCTGCCCTTCAAGCCGTGACCATATTAGGTTTCATAGTTTCTTGGGCGCGAGCCCATCCGTTTCATCCGGTCCAATGAAGTTGTTATTGCTTGCCTCCTTGGCCATCTGGTCCCTGACTCAGAGTGACATGTTTCATTGGCTCGCCACACCGTGATTCTGCATGCTGAGAACTGACTGACAGTAAAAGGTTGCTTAATCCGGTGGTCGCAAAGAAGTTTGGGAAAGAGGCGCGTGGGGAACCCCATGATGGGCTCTGTTTAGCGCTCGGTGAGCATTTCCTGACCAGGATCCGAGAGACTTGCAGCTGGCACTCCTGGAGCGCGCGGAGGGCACCTTGGGCACCTTCGATGCGGCTTCTTCGAACTTCTCGGAGGAGGCCTTGGATGCCGTGGTCTCGGCGAAAGCGCTGGAAGCCGTCGGCGACGCCTTCAGTGATGCAGGCAACGCTTTGGGTGGTGCGGTCGAAACGGCTGGCAATGCTATTGCCACAGCCGCTGTTCAGACCGTGGATACTCTTACGGAAGCAGGCATGACACTTGGCAGTGCAGTGGCCAATGCGGCCGTTGTGGTCGGGAAGCATATTGTCAAAGCAGCAGAGACCCAACTTGCAGCCCTTCCAGCTGCCATCAAGGATGTGGCCGAGGATATCGGGAAAGCAGCGGTGCAGGTTGGAAGCGTGGTGGCGGATGTGGGGGAGCTTGCTGCGGGTGCCACTCTTCACTTAGCAGGGGACATCCTTGAAAGGGCCAAGAGTTCCATCCAACAAGGCGAGAAGCGGGCTTTCGAAGCACTGAAGTTAACTTGAACTTAAGGAAAGGTCCTGATTTTGCAGTAAGTTAAAGCACAGCGACTCAGCCACATGGACAGGAGTGAAGCTGGCCGAGAAAGTGGGGAAGTTCATTGCAGATAAAGCAGTAGCTTTGGGGGGCGAAGTGGCCAAGTTGGGCCCTTTGGTTGCAGGATTGGCGGAAGCTGCTTGGAACGAGATCAAGGGCTTCTTGAGCTGCTTCAGTGAGTCCTTGACCTTGTGCCACGTTCTCCTTGGTGGCCAGTGCGATTGCAATGCTGGCTCCCACGTTACTCCCTCCGCATCCGGGTTCTCCATGAGATGTGTCTTTGATTCATCCTCGGAGTTTGCATCGGGCTTCGGGATCCGGGCCGTGCCTGCCCAGAAGTTTCCCGGAAGAACTGCCAAGGGCACTGTGATTCTGCCAGGAGACGAGTACGTGCAGGCGTACAAGATGGCAGGCCAAATCATGAGGTCTCGGCAGGCCCTGAAGGAAAGGAAGGCCAAAGCGCCCATAGGCTCTTGTGAAACAGGCCTGGACCTGGCCTTTGAGGGTGCGGCTCAGTTTGCACCGGACATCTCCATCAGCATGAGTTTCAATGGTGACACGGAGATTAGCATCAAGGGCCTCATCCGTGCCTCCATCGATGCCTTGGTCTCCGCCCAGGGCTCTTGCGCCTTCCACGCCGAGAAGGGCATTCCCAGACTTCCCAAGAGCAAGGCCCCGGCCTTCGAATGCCTCTCTTTCCTGTGTCTCTTGGGAGCTGCCTGCAGGTGATCTGCGGGGCCTACTTCTGCTTGGCCATCATGCTCCAAGGCGCGGAGCTTCCTGCGGTTCTGCTTGTTGTTGCTTTCTTGCTTCTCCTTTTCAGCCGATCTGTCGCTGTCCTGCG